AATTCTAGTCATGCCCAAACCGCTCACTCCTTAAGTAGCAATTATCAAGTTATTTCAGTGAATTAGCTAAACACATATATATAGTATTCAATTTTCCTGTTTTGTTTTTTTCCATATTATTGTGAATTGAGTGAAGGTTTACAGAGATCATTGGTTTTACATTCAACAAATCATATACACTTTGTTTCACTTAAATGACTGCAATCCCCTCCGTGCAATAACAGTTATCCCAATACTTCCCTGTGGTTTACAGTATTCAATTTTCTTTAAATCATTCTGCATAAACAACGTAGTGTGCCGGCAATTATTTTAATCTAAATCCCAGGAATAGTTAGTTACCAAAATTCTGAATACAAACTCCAGACCAGTTAGACAGCATTTGATTAAAAGCCAATACTCAGTAAAGAGACTGATCTGACACTCAATCCTATTACTATGTGAAAAGAATGCAAGAATAAGAAAAGAATTAAGGGTTTAATAGCCTGTACTTTTTTGAATGCCACTTATGTCATTCCCAAACATTAGTGTAGTACTGATGACTACTACAAAGACTCACTGTTTTCTAATCTTGACCAATAGCAATATTAGCTATTTTAAAGTGATTTAATGTCCTCTAATTGCTTGGTACTGCAGTGGTTACAAATTAGGCTGCTAACCTCAAGGTCGGCAGTTTGAAACTACCAGCTGTTCTGCGGGAGAAAGATGACGCTTTCTGCTCCTGTAAAGATTTACAGCCTCGGAAACCCTGTGCAGGGTCACTATGAGTTGGAGCCGACTCCATGGTACTTAACAACAATAAAATGAAACAAATGTTTCTAGACATCTTTAATACACTAGACTGTATTTTTTGCTGGTTAGCGCTCACCAGCTGCTCTGCAGGAGAAAGATGATGCTTTTTCCTCCCAAAAAGATTTAGTCTTGGAAACCCTATGTAGGGTTGCTATAAGTCAAACCAATTTGATGGCATCTAAGAACAACCATTTAAATCTAACAAAAACTATATGAGACAGATACTAATCTCTACAGATAAGAAAACTATAGCACAGAGAATGTAAAATGTTCTTGTCCAAGGTCATCAAACTAAGAGTAACTGAATCTTGCTACAAAATTGCCGTCTTACTTGGCATAGGCAAACCTTTTGTAACAGCTGCTGTCAAAGAAGCCTGTGATGTCAGAGAACTGGTCCTTAATTGTCCTCCTAATCCAGACCTATTAGGCTATCATTATGGAGCAGTTTGATCAAAGACTCTACACTAAGAATCCCACTCAAAAGGGGGAGAGTGCAGAACAGAATTTTAAGTTCTCATGACTTTCTGGATCCAAGGGGGAGAATAAACCCTAAAACTATCACCCTGAGATAATCTGTAAAACTTAAACCAAAAACATCCCTTGAAGTTTTCTTAATATCAAATAATAATTTACTTTAACTACTAAAAAATGTCTGCCTTGAGCACTAGGCTCTTTTAAGAACTATCTATAAGGTACCAAAATAACAACAACTTGAAAGATTAAGTAGGAATCCTAGGGGCGGTGGGTTTATGTCAATGGGTGGGAGGAGTAACTCAAAAAAGGAAGGTAAGAATGATTGCACAACTTGAGCAATGTAGTCAATATCATTAAATTGTACATGTAGAAACCATTGAATTGGTGTATGTTTTTCTGTGTATATTCTCAACAACAAACTTAAAACTTTAAAAAAAATCTTATTACATTCTTGCTATCATATGTTATTTTTAATGTGTCATAATTAAGTTGTTTTCTTGGTGCACTTTAATAAAGTTGATTTTAGAGTACATTAAACAAGTTCACCTTTTTTTATAGAACACTATTCATTTTATTAATAACTAATCTTTACCTATTTTTACCTACCACGATATGAAACAAGTTCCTTATTTTGATTGCATAATACAAACATATCATCTTCCAAAGTAATAAAATTGAGATATTGGTCAAAAACCTAGAAACAGCAACAAAAAATTTAGAAGTCAATATTAAAATATAATCATGTTTATATCATTGTTTGATATATTCTATCAATAGCACAATGAAAGAAAAACAGCTACATTCAATATACACTTAAAAAAGTTACATTCAATAACTAAAAACTGTGCTCTCTAGGAGGTTACCTAAATGAACTTAAAATTAAGAATATTAAAAAGTAATAAAAACAAGCTTTTAGGCAATATTAAGAATGAGAAAAACATTTTTAGAAAATAAAATGTGAACAAATATAAAACTAAACTCTGTGACTGTGATGAGAACAGACACCAATTTTAAAGAAAATGAACAACTAGAAATGTTTATATACACTTTTAATCACCCTTAATGAAGAAAGCCACAGCAGCTTTTTCCATCTAGAATTTTTATAAGCTAAGTACTAGGCTGCTAACCACAAGGTCGGTAGTTCAAATCCACAGCAGCTCTTCAAAAGTCATAGACAGGATGGAACCAACTCCATGCCATTTAACAACAACATAAATAAAAATGGGGGGAAGTCCCACCATTTTTTGAGATGAGCAAATTAAAGTAAGAAAACTATTTGAAATAAATTTATTTAAACAAACTGAAAGCTGTTCTTAAGAATTTTATGTAAAATTAATGTTACATTTTGGAAGAGCAAAAACATTAAGGAATGAGTCTCAAAAACAAATCAGAGTTAGCACTTGCCCATCTATATTTAAGAAATATCAGTGGGGACAAAACAGGAAGTAAATAGACAGTTGTTTAGTGTTTAATTTGCCCTAAGCAGTTCCCCTGGAGTCCTGGTGACGCTGTGGGCGAACACGCTGGACTGCAAAGGAGGACTGAACCACACGGTCAGTGGTCCAAGCTCACCAGTCGCTCCTGGGTAACGTTATAAAGGATCGCTATGGATCAGAACTGACTCTACAACATTTAACAACACAGTTCCCTTGAATTTTTATTTATGTCTTTTCCAAATTCAGGAGGGCTATAACCAAAATATTCTATATATTTACTTATAAATGAAGCTGAACCTAACTAAAAAGTCACTATGATGTAGAATTACCAGTCTATTGTGAAATCCTTTTTCCTTTTAATATGCCATATTAATAGTTTCTTTGAATCCTATCTCCTAAAGTAGGGAAAGATATGGTGACTATAGTGATTACAGGTAAGACAATGTCAAGATACTCTGAAGGACAATTTATGAAAGCACAACTGTCAAACTATTTCTGAAGTGAGCTAAAAAGAAAAAGCAAAACTGATTCTGTTGATTAGTAGTGGGGTTGTTTTTATTTCCTTTTAGATTCATAGGATAGTGGGTTGTCATTCAGTTTGGTCTCTTTTGCTTAGTTCATGCTGTAGACAGTTTACATTATCAGAACTCTTGAGAACTATTGAGTGTAAACATTTCATTCTGCTCATCTGAACTATAAACTTAGTTAATTGTTGTTGTTAGGTGCCATCAAGTCGGTACCGAACCACAGAGACCCTATGCACAACAACAGAACGAAACACTGCCCAGTCCTGGACGAACCTCACAATTATTGCCATGCTTGAGCCCACTGATGCTGCTCACTTTGCCAACTCATCTTGCTGGGGTCTTCCCTTTTTCTCTGACCTTCCACCGTACAAACCCCCACCTTACAAACATGATATCCTTCTCCAGCGACTGGCCCCTCCTGACAATATGTTCAAAGTATGAGAAACGAAGTTTGGCCATCTTGGCCTCCAAGGTGCACTCTGGCTG